GTCAATCGTTCATGGATGCGGTCCGAGCCACAGGGTTGGAGAAGAAGCAATGAGAATCGTAGTTGCTGGAGTGGGATTCGTTCGAGTAATGGAGCACGATTGGAAGAAAAGGAAGCATAGGAAATGGAGGAGTGGACCGCAGATTGTGCGAGAAGAAAGGGAAGAGTGGGTCGAGTTGATCAACCTTGAGGACAAGGTTGGTCTCAAGGGGGAGGAGATGATAGAAACACGTTTTCGTGATTCTATCATAATAATTATTATTAGGATATTTACAAATAAGGATGGTGGTCTTTTAGTAGAATTAGGTAAACTATTAGGGTTTTCTATCTTTTCCTATATAAGTGTACTTTGTAATTTCATAAGGATCAATCAAGAATAATATCAAGAAAACTCTCCTAAACCCAATTCTCTTAATCCTCTCAAACCTCGTTCCCAATCCTTCAAAAGGCCTACTCTATCTTTCTCTTTTCAAAACTCTAATTATGTTCTGAATTCCAACCTCACGATAAGACCCGATAGAATCCTAATATCAGGTTCTATCAATTGTGCACGAACATATTATGGGGTTTCCTTGTTTCTACAAAGTGACATGAACATATCCACCACGAAAGAAAAACCCCAACAAACTAATTCAATTTCGTAGAATTTCTGAACTTTCGGATAAGAAACTAGCAATCAATCTCAACTGAACGGAAGGGCACCCTTTTCGTTGAAGGCATAAGCAAGTTCCTTAACATCGTAGATCCACAACCCATCATTCGAGTGCTTGATGGGTGGGATGGGAGCCCACGATAGCTATTAACCACTTCCATATCATCTTAAAAGATATAATCAACCAAACAAAGAAAACGAAAGTGTCACCTTGCTGAGATGGACTCGTGCAACCTCTTCCCTTCGAAATTGGTAGGTGTCGATCTCAACTTCACAGCTTGCACCATATCTGGAAAGCAATCATAGAGAGTTTAGATTCAGAATGAAAAGCTGTGTGTGAAGTCAAAATAAAAGGAATGTGTGTGGATCATGACTTACCCTCCAGATGTATCCTTCACATCCTGAAGAGAAGAAAAACAGAAAACAGTTCGTTTAATTGATGAATGCCATATATTTGTGCATGCCATTGCCAGAAGTCCCTATATAGCATAAAGTTCATATATCCCAGTAGAATCCTATTCTTTCACTGCTAAACCAAGCAAGATACAACATTTACTTGACCTCGTGTGATCACTCAAATGAAGTTTCTATGCTTATTAGGAAAGTCATTCTTCAGAGAAAACCCCTTCAGGGTTCTGCAGAAATTGCGAATGTTATACAACACCACCAGTTTTCCATGATATCACACAAGCGGGAAAACGATGCTAACATATCATCGTTCAGCAGGGCAAATCAAACTCAACAGCTTGCAACTCACTATTTGTGTTTCCCCTAACCCATCTCACACAAACATGGTAGGACGGAAACAAATACAAGAGTAAAAGATAAATGACGTAACTCAACATACAACAATGAAAGAGCACTAAACCCAATCGAAAACACTAAAAGACACAAAAAATCAAATCAAAACCAGATATATAGGTCCAATTGCTAAACAGGCTGATATGGGTGAGAGAGAGTTATTCATCCTTGCAATGAGAAGAGAGTAGAAACTTACCATCTCCTTCCTCCCAATGGTCCATCTTTAGAAAGCAGCGGTTATGGGTAAAACAAAGGGCACAGACTCACCTCCTAACAAAAAACCCGATGTAAAATCTTCCACCCCGGGTAAGTAAAGTTTAAATTAAGAGCAAACCACCGATGAACATGATTCAACCAAACATGGACCTATCACAGAAAACCTCCAATGAGAGAGGGAGATTGATGAGTCATTGGGAAGAGTCGTAAATACAACTCCCTCAACAAAGCACAGCGCCCTTCTCTCTCTTACTTTTTTTTTCAAAATCGTGCTCTGCCTTCTCTCTATCTCCAGCGCCTATGTGTGATTTTCCAGGGGTTGCTGCCGACACTTCCTTCTCCTTCCAGTCTGTTCTTGCTGCTTTGTCTCTGGTTTGGCATTTTTCAATAGGATTTTCCAGCTTTTTAGCTTCTCCTGCCTTTATGGCCTTTCCTTGCCCTGTTCTAGGGTTCCTTTTCCGGATTTGCTCTCCTTGGGGTTGGGTTATGCATCTAGGGGTCTCCTCTCTAGATGGTGGGTTCATCAACATGCATGGTGATCGATTCAGCGTTTTCCCCTCCGTTCCCCCTGATGGTAGTTCTCTGCCTCTTGGTCGGCGTTGGTGGAAGGAAGGCGGTGTCTGGCCCTTCTGACTGCGGTTTTCACCTCTTGGATTTTGGGGTTCGAGCTCTTCTTCTCCCTTGACCAAGTTCTTGGTGCCTCGTTTCCCTCTGCTTTTTCAGCTCAGAGCATTTCGATCCTCTTCCATTTCCACCGCCATGTAATCCCTCACCAGAGATTCACTGTGTTGAGCGTCTTCGAGCGACTCCTAGGAGGCGGCATATGGCGTTGTGTACAATTGTCATGGATTCGGTCGGATTTGACGAGCTGATTGTGCTTGGTGCTCTTTGATTGGTTTGATTGCAAGAGAGGTTTTGGTGTTTTCTGGATCTGATTCAAGTGTTGCAGATCTTTTGGGTTGATCTTTTCTGTGTTTTGTTCTTCCCTTGTTGTATTTCTTAAACACAGATTGTTCAATTATGTGCTTAAGGTTGTCTGTCCTTGATCTTTTCTAGACTTCTTTGTTAACTTGTCTTGTAACCTATCTTTCAAATAGCAATACAAGTAAATCCTTTGTAAAAAAAAAAAAAAAAAAGAAGGAAGAGTCACGGGAGTGGTGAAAATGAGTGGATGGAAATTTGGGAATAAAGGTCGGAGAGAGGATGAGAAGGAAAAAGTAAAGAAAATATAATTACGTTTTTTGTCCCTAAAGCTTTGGTTAATAACGAAATGGTCACTCCTTGACCCTTGTGATCGTCAACATTGGATTGAACTCGCTATGAGCGACTTGATAATGCGGGGCTAGTGTTTAACAAAATCCACACTTGACCCCAAAATTCGTTCACACTAGATCAAACTCGCTTTGATCGGTTTGATAAAGCGGGGTGAGTTTTAAAAAATCTACACCCGACCTAATCCGTCAATTACAAAAGCGACTAAATTTCGTTCTTGATGCAAAATTTGTCAATACCATATTAAATTTGTTTGGACCCAGTCGATTTAGGCTGACCCAACTCGGCAATTACAAAAGTGGGTAAAACTCGTCCACGACCCAAAGCCGACCCAAAATTCGTCAACACTGAATTCTACTCGCTTGGACCGACTTGATAAAGCAGTGCGAGTTTTAAACAAAATCCAAACCCGACCCATTTCGTTAATTACAAAAATGGGTAAAATTCATTCTCGAACCAACATGGATTCAATTGTCACAAAAGGAAATAAATTTGCACCCGACCCAACCTGACAATTAAAAGTGGGTAAAACTCGTCCATGACTAAAAACTGACCCAAAATTCGGCAACACAACATTCAACTCGCTTTGACCAGTTTGATAAAGTGGGGCAATTTTTTAACAAAAGCGGATAAAATTCATTTCCAACCCAATATGGATAAAATTGTCACAAAAGGAAATAAATTGGCACCTCAACCAACCCCGACAATTACAAAATTTGGTAAAACTCGTCCATGACCCAAAATTCGACAATACAACACTCAACTCGCTTTGACTTATTTGATAAAGTGGGATGTATTTTGAACAAAAGTAGGTAAAATTCGTTCCTGACCCAACATGGATTCAATTGTCACAAAAGGAAATAAATTTGCACCTTACCTAACGCAACAATTACAAAAGTGGGTAAAACTCGTCCACGACCCAAATTTGACCCAAAATTCGGCAACACAACATTCAACGCGCTTTGACCGGTTTGATAAAGTGGGGCGAGTTATTAACAAAAGCGGGCAAAATTCGTTCCCTTTGACCGGGTCGAATTAGCTAAAAAAAGTGGGGCAAACTCGTCCACGACCCAAAATCGACCCAAAATTCGTCAATAGTGAATCCAACTCTCTTTGACCGGTTTGATAAAGCGGGGTGAGTTTCTAACAAAATCCACACCTGATCCTATCCGTTGGTTACAAAAGTGGAATAAAATTCATTCCCGACCCAAAAACTCGTTAACACCAGGTTCAACTCGCTACACCGGGTTGAACTCACTTTGACTGAGCCGAATTAGGTCGAATACCCATTGACTTGCGTTCAATTGTCATTAAAACATTTGATTAATTAATAAAAGTTTAACAATAAAAAATTCCAGTTGATGTGACTCTACCAAATAGTAACCCAATACTTGTTCTACCAAATAATAATAATAATAATAATAATAATAATAATAATAAAGCGTGTAAAATTCGTCCTCAACACCACTCGAATTAGATTGAATGGTCATGGCATGGTAATAATAATAAAGCGTGCAAAACTCGTCCTCAACGCTAAAGTCATCGACACCGGTCCAATTAGATTGAATGACCATGACTTGATTCAATTGGATTGAATTGTCATTAGCTAATTAATTAGAAAATGACAATTTAAACCCCTTCAAGGTTTGGATAATTACAAAAAAGATCACTTGTATAATGTGACTCTAAGAAATAGTAAATAGTAAATTTCTTGCTTGTTCTTTTATAGAGATAAAGTTTTGCTTTGGATTTGTTTCATTGTGTCTTTGCATTGTTCTCCTGTTTATCTTCTTTCATAGCAGAATTTTTAATATTTTATTAAGTTAAATAATGGTGACTTGGCGAGTTGACTGTTAGTCAATGACCTTATCGTCAAAACTAATGGTCAACTCTAGAGTTTAGTCATATTAATTAGTAAAGTATATATTTAGTTCAAGTCAACATATTATATATTGAAATAATAGACCAGAATGTTAAATATATTAAAAAGTTCAGAAATCGTTATTGTGCGAAACAAATAGAACAGTACAAGAAGAATTAAACAACTGCTTCATATCAAATTATGGGTAGTTTATGTTAGCTGCAAGGGACGGCGAGTAAGGAACGGGGATTAAACACAGATCACGTTTCCTTTTCACACTCACACCAAAATTTTCAGACATGTCCAGGTCTTCAAAGCTTCCCCCATTTTCTTCAGGCATCTCCCAGTTGAAATGGTACAACAAGCTAGCCAGTTGAAGTTCCACATTCGCCATCCCAAACGCCATACCGGGACACATCCTCCTTCCCGCTCCAAATGGAATGAACTCGTAATTCGCCCCTTTGTAATCGAGCGACGAATCGACGAACCTCTCGGGATCGAACTCGTCGGGTCGCACCCAGTACTTAGGATCTCTTCCCATGGCCCACACGTTGATGAGCACCCTGGTATTGGCGGGAACATGGTAGCCATCAATTTCACATCCCTCGGAGTTCTGCCTAGGAAGCAGCAGTGGTGCGGTCGGACGAAGCCTCAACGATTCCTTGAGTACCATTTTCAGGTACTTCAATTCCCCGAGGCGAGCTTCTTCTACTGTTCCCGTCGAGCCAAACACTTGCCTTACCTCAGATTGTGCCTTTCTCAGCGTTTTTGCGTTTCTCAGCAATTCAGACATCGCCCATTGAACTGTCGTAGAGGAAGTATCGGTGCCACCTACGAATACGTCCTGTGGAAACACCGTACCAATTAAGTTAAGCTAGATATTAAGAGCACTTCTATTATGCTATATAGTATTGGTGCTTTAATGTACAACTTGAAGTTGTACCATAACATTAAATGTATAAGTTTAGTTTGTACCATAAGGGAATTTATATCATTATGTTATGGTACAACTTTACAACTTGAAGTTGTACCATCACATAAAGTTACAAGTTCAAGTTGTACCATAAAAGAATTTGTACAAAAAGTATAGGTACAATCTAAAGTTGTACTATAACGTAAAGGTACAATTTCAAATTGTACCATAAAGACAAAAACTTATAGCACCAATACTATATAGCATTGTAAAATTCCTCAAATATTAATGGGGCAAATGTGACCAAAGGTTCTACCAAAAAAAAAAAGTCACGAATAAGTTCTACAACCAAAATTCAACATTTAGCCACCATTAGGTTTGGTCACAGAAGGGCTTCGTTGTTGTAGTGTGCCTGTATGATAGTAGATGATAAAATATAGCACTAATTTTAATTTCAAGATAGCATCCATACCATAATAACGGCCTTAACACTGTCATCCCCAAAAGGGAAATCAAGTTGCCCATCCTCCTGGAGCTTCAATAGCACATCGATGAAATCTTCGACATCATTGCCGCTGTCGTCGTCGCTCACCCTTTTAGACCTATGCTCGGCAATAATGTTGCCGAGCACAGTGTCCAGCCGCCGACGAATGTCGACCAAAGTGGCCTCCTTCCCGCAGATTCTGTGCAGCCATCTGCGGGACGGGAACAGGTCGGCGAGGCTGAATCCTGCGGCCTCCCGCAGGATCTCATCCGCAATGGTGAGAAACCCGGTCTGGTCCTCGCTCGTCTTCCCTCCGAAAGCCGTCCTCGCGGTGACGAAGCTCGTCCACTCGTACACAAACACCTTGAGGTTCACGGTCGCCCGTGCTGCCGCAGCACGGGCAAGCCCAGCGACTGCCTGAGCCGCCTCCTCTTTCCGGATGGACCGGAAAGAGAGGACCCTCGAGCTGCTCAGCAGCTCGAGGTTGAAGATCTTTCTGAGCTGCCTCCAGTACTCGCCGTGGGGCGTGAACGAGAGGCTGGTGAAGTCGTAGGTGAAGAACCTGGCGGAGGCGAGCAAGGGGCGGTTCGAGAAGGTGGCGCCGTGGGTTGTCAGCGCCTCCTTGGCAATCTCCGGGGACGAAACGACGATGGCCGAGGACTCGCCGAGCTGGAGGTGCATCAAGGGGCCGTGTTTGAGGGCCAAGTCCCGGAGCCGGACGTGGGGGAGAGGGTGGAGCGCCAGCTGGTGGATGTTGCCGATGATGGGGAGCTTCCATGGGCCTGGAGGGAGACGGCGACGGCTCAGCTTGGATGCTACGACGCCGTCTTCGTTGGTGGTGGACCGGCGCCGTACGGTGATGATGAGGAAGGTTAGGGGAAGAAAGAGGAGGAAAGCGAGGAGGAGGATTGGTTGGGAGGAATCATTAGCTGCTGGGACTTCACGATGAAGGTCCATGGAGGCTAACTAGCTGGTAAATTTAATTTGAGAGTTAATTTGGTTTTCAGATGGCTCGCCGTACTTCGAAATTGAGCTATTAGGGGTAGTTAATTACTTAATTTATACCGCAGCACCACTGGCTAGGGCAATGATCCGGTCCCTATCGGACCAAACCGACATTTGAATCAGACCTGATCAAACGCCGTCCAATACTTGATCCCAGGGGCGGACCCAGGACTTTCGAGGTGTCCCGGTACACTTCTAAATTTTGAAAAAGCGATTACCCAATCTCCAGTGGTAATTTACGTATAGATAAAAAATTATAATTAATAATTTCCCCCGTCGAATCAGTTAATTCAAACGAAATTTGAAAAAACGATCATCCTATTCTCGTTTGTAATTTGCGTATGGGAATATAAATGGTAGTTTGGATAATTCAAACCTGGAACACTACTATTATTAATAAATATAATTTCCATTAGGCTATAAGTTTTTTTTTGTTCTATTCTAAACACTGTGTAATAGCAAAACCCGATTCTCTATCTTTAATCGTTTTCAAAACCCAACAATTAATCTAATTACAAGCTACCCATAATTTGTATTGATTTTATGGTTGTACGACAAGTGTTGAAAGTGTTTTTTCAACTTTGAGTTACATCAAGAACAAATTTAGAAGTCCTATATGCGCCAGTTCGTGAATGATTGTCTAATAAGATATACCGAGACAAATTTGTTGAGCAGTGTAGACACTAAATGTATTTTACAATTTTTTCAGAATATGAAAAATACTATTATAGATCGAGAATCTCAAAACGGATGACATCTTGTGAAATTAAATGAATTCATATTTTTCAAAAGTAAACTCTGGAAATGAATTGCTACGATGTGCCGTGAGAATGATGCTATAGGTCGAGAATCTCAAAACGATTCGGCGCTGTCTATATAATAATTGGAGGGGATTCAGGTTCACCAGCTCATCGATCAGTAACACCTTTAATAAAATAAAATAAAATAAAATAAAAAAGTCGTGGCAAAAAGTTGGGTTTCCCATGGAACACTACTTGCAGAACTCGACATGCCTTTTCTCCTCCGCCTCCGCCTCCGTCCCTTTCATCCTCCTCCTCGCACTATTCACCGGCGCCGTGGTGCTGGCAGCCACCAGAAAGAATAAAACCTCTCCGCCACCTCATAACCTGCCGCCGGGGCCATGGAAGCTCCCGATCATAGGAAACCTCCACCAACTGGAGGGTCCGGTGCCGACCCACCGCCGCCTCCGCGACATGGCCAAGGACCACGGCCCTGTCATGCGGCTCCAGCTCGGGGAGCTGCCGCACGTCATCGTCTCCTCCGCGGCAGCGGCCAAGGACGTATTGAAAACCCACGACGCGGCTCTCGCTTCCAGGCCGTACCTTCTGGCCGCCGACATCCTCTTCTACGGCCGCAAGGGGATAACCTTCACCCCCTCCGGCGAGTACTGGCGCCGGATGCGCAAGATCTGCACCGCCGAGCTGCTCAGCACCAGGCGCGTCCTCTCTTATCGAACGATAAGAGAGGACGAGCTGTCTGGCAACCTGGTGCAGCGCATCTCGGCTTCAGCTGGCCGAGTTGTGAACTTGGGAGAGACCCTTTTCTGGGCCTCGAACCGCGTGATTGCCAGGTCAGCTTTCGGCGTGGTTAAGGAGAATGCAGAATCGTTTATGGACGTGGTGAACAGTATTTCTGACCAGTTGGGTGGTTTGGCCGTCTCCGATTTGTACCCTTCCGTCAAATTTCTTCCTGCGTTGACCGGATTCAGAGCGGAGCTCACCCGCCTGCATCGAGAAGCCGACGGTTTACTCGAGGAGATAATCAACGAGCACAAGGAGAAAAGAAGACAACTCAACAAGGGAGAATATTCTCGTGAACAAGTAGACTCAACAGAGAATCTTGTTGACGTTCTCCTGGATCTCCAAGAAAATTGTACTGACGTGGAGTCTCCATTGACCATTGAGAACATAAAAGCAGTCGCTACAGTAAGATTTTTCACTTCCTATGTTAAAAATAATGAATTACTACCTCCATGCATGCGTTTGTTGTTGTTTCTGTAAACATGTGTTTTACAAAATGTGCATCAGGAATTGCTCCTGGCAGGCAGCGGAACCTCGCCGGTGACAATAGAGTGGACCATGTCAGAAATTATGAGCAATCCAAGAGTATTAGCAAAAGTGCAGGAAGAAGTTCGCCGCGCCTTCTGTGGGAAAGGGAAAGTCAGTGAAGAAGGCTTGGATGACTTGGTGTACTTGGATGCAGTCATCAAGGAGGCCTTGAGACTGCACCCTGATGGTCCTTTGCTAGCTCCGAGAGAAAGTCAAGAAGATGTGGTTGTTGGTGGGTACCTGGTCCCCGCCAGAACTAAAGTCATGGTCAATGTTTGGGCGATTGGGCGAGACGAAAGCTCTTGGGATGATGCCGATACGTTTTACCCGGAGAGATTCCTTGATTGTGCGGTTGACTATAAGGGGAAGGATTTCGAGTTCCTTCCATTTGGGGCAGGAAGGAGAATGTGTGCTGGAATTTCATTTGGAATGGGTATCGTTAAACTCGGACTAGCGAATTTGCTCTATCATTTTGACTGGGAACTCCCAGCCGGAATGAAGTCGAGCGATCTAGACATGACGGAACGTTTTGGGCTTACCTTACGCAGAAACTGTCCATTGTGTTTGATCCCAATTGCATACAATTTCGTATCATGACTTTCTTTGTATTAGCTTACTAGGTACGAAATAAGTTTATCAACTTCTTTACGCTTGGATCAGGTGAAGGTGATTGATCCTATAGCTTGGCTTGCTTGTCCTCTCACTGCAGGGATTTAATTTGCGCTTGATTTTCGTTGTTAATTGTGTGATACGAATTAGACTTATTTGTTTGGCAACATTGTGGCTTGTGGTACTCGTATGTGGCTCTGCCCTTTTGTTTGTTCAAAATTGGAGATGAAAGCAAATTAAAGCAGTTGTAAGAGAAAAGTAAAGTCTTTGATGGATAAAGATGGAATTGTAAAGTTCTACATTACGAGTGACTCAAATTATGAAGGCATATTCAGGTTACATACAAGATGTCGGCGTTTATAAATATGTTTTTTTTTTTTTAATGATGATACTTTTATGGCGGATTCTATAGTGCAGTGACTGCATCCGTGCCGTCTCCAATCAACCGACTATTGCCGGTTGTCTCTTTTTTTTTTCTGCCAAATATTGCCGGTTGTCTCCCCTCTTTCTGTTTCTTTTTTTACTAGCTTATAACCCGGCCCTTTGGCCGAAATGCTCATATTTGATTATTTGTATTTTTATGTTACTTTTAAGTCTATTAACCCGTTTAATCTTATTGATAATCATTCGATCGAGATGATACATAATGAAATAATATATAGGTCGAAGATTCGGAGAAATATCATAATCATTTAAGAATATAAAATATAAAAATGTATCATTGACCCCATTTTCATAATGCTAATTAAGTCCCTCTTAAAATGCTATTGGTTAGTTTTCTTTTACAGTCAAGAAATATAGAGTATAAAAGCTCACTGAAATTCTCACACAACCCATAGATAGTTTGAAACTAAATCTTAAACCTCACAATCCTATATAAAGGGTTCAATGCTCTCCTTTTAGAAACAATATGTCACTAATCAAAAAGAAATGGAGAGTTGTTGATTCAAGTCATCTATATAGTAAAAACTCAGCTAAGAGGGGACCATCACAACTTGAGAGCAAACGAAAAAATCAGGGTTATCTCCAATATACGAATAGACTCGATCAAAGTAATAAGGCGCAAAATTAGACACTCCTTATCTATTAGTTCCAGTAGGTTGAATAAAGAAGCGACCTATTTCAAACAATCAATCAATGATTCCTCGTTTTAAGATAGAAATAGGTTATGACAGTTGCAAAAACCATAAACATAAAGATCCAATAGCCACCACTCTCCGTTGTACAACCAAATTTCTATCTCAAGAGGCATATATTCAACCAAAAATTCAATTTCTAATCTTCCTTCTACAACTTCAGTTATTGATGAACTCCATTCTATTCGCCATGAATTGATATCGGAGTTGAAATCTTCTACTCGCCCAACTTAAAATCCCCAACAATAAAACCGTAGTGCCAAGAGATACATGAAGATTGATTTTCAATGACAGTCTTGTACTGGGAAGTGCAAGGCGCAAACTATTGCACGATGGATGAAATTTCGGAGGAAGTTATAAAGAGAAAAGAACAAAGATAAAAAAAACACAAAATTTAAATTTAAATTGAAAAATGCAAGGATACAACAGTAGTTACATAATTAGTTTCTTCCATGTTGGCCAATTACCCATTTACCTTTAGCAAAAATTAATGAGAGAGCGAGAATTTAAAATTGAGAAAATGACATGAAACTCTACTATGAAAATAGAAGTATCAAGCTCGATAAAAATAAATACGGTAGACTTAGTGAGCTTGCTAATTATGATAAAAAGTCCTCTGATTTTCAGAGATTAACTTTGTCTATTTTTTTTATAAAAAAGAATGCAATAAATTTGTTTAGTGTAACTGGTTGTGATTGTTATCTTTGTTTGAAGAGACCCGGGTTCAAACCTTGATATTGCTATTTTTATATGAAATAAATAATAAATGTGTAAAGACAAAAATGACCTTCCTACTTTCACTCTCGTTGCAGGAAATTTGAAATGGAGAAAAGTACACAAAACTCTACCATATATTAATGGAGGATGGCATATATTGCTCTATGAAAAAAATAAAAAGCCAAAACATCTTCAACGGGTTCCATTTGTTGCAATTATTTTAGTTACGGCGTTTTAATAAAATTAAGTGTATACAATGATGTTATAGTGCATCAACAATAAAATTAAGAGTATAAGGTGTATTTTAATGTTAAAATAATTTAGACATGATAGTCGGTTTCAGTTAACAGTTTAATTAATTATTGAATATGGTTTAATTGATAGTCGATTATCCAAATGGTTCGATTTCCCGTAGTAAAAAAATGGATAACGATTAGGTGTGAACAAACAACATTGAAAACGGACCCAACTATTTAACAACCCAAACCGACCCACTAAGAAAATCCAATTTTACTTGTGGATGCGAATTTGAATTTTTGAAAACCATAGAATTGTGGTTGAGTACGGGTTTTCATGGTTACAAACCGAGAGTACCCAAACTAACCCGGAATACTACATTATAGATCAAAGTCTTACAAATTATATATATAATCCTCTGATCTACATGTCATTCGACTAGATAGTATTGATAAATTAGAAAGTTAAATTCATCAAAATTTTCACTTAAATAAAATATTATTTGAATTCTTTGATTGGACTTCCATCTAACCCGATCCAAACCATTTCTCAAGAAATTTGTATGGATATGAAATTAATGGGTGGATTTGGGTTTAACATAATTCAACTTAGTGATGGCAATGGGACGGGGCTGGGCGGGTACCTTAATACCCATACATCTCCCATGCTATTACTGGTCAGGGCCGGTAATACCCTCTCGGATACGGGGCGGGTCGACCCACTTTGACATTTTATATGATAAAAATACACGTACTTTTTTTAATGATGAAACGAATGGGAAAACACTTTATGGATGAAGAATAGTGATAATAGAATGGGTAATTGACTCTAACTAGTTGAAAAATTAAATCTAACTAGCTGAACAAAAGTCTAAATAAAAAAATATGAATAGGTACGGTAAGAAATCGAGATAGAATGGGACAAGAACGGGCGGGGCAAGGTGGGTTGGAAGCAGATACCCATACCCCCGCCCCACGCTTGCGGGTCGGGTAATACTCGCCCCATCGCTGGTCAGGTCGGGTAATACTAGACGGGACGGGTTCAAATTGTCATCCCTAATTAATTCAACCCGTGATAATTGGTTGTGTTGTTAAAATTCTCAAAACCCGCCCAACTGACCTATGTATACCCACATTAAAAAATAATGAGTAATCGACCAATCAATTATGAGTATAAGTTTATAACGGAACTGAACCAAATATCACCCTCACTAAACGTCATAGTAACTTTTTAAAATTTTAAAATTTTGATAGTTAATTTGCTATTTTCAGTATCGGATTTAGGTATGACGAATATTAATGTTACCGTGGATTGCACGATTGTGTTGGAAACAATAAAAAGTGTGTTAAGATTTATAGAATTTGAAAATCGTTCGTGGACGAAGCTTGGCTGGTATTTTGTTAAAATTTTAAAATTTGGCTAATATTTTCCTAGAATAGAATGGTGTCAATAGGAGTTGAAGAATGAGAAGAAGGAGTCCTCGACCCTCGATAGAGGAGGATTTTGGCTAATAACCATATTATTCAGAAAATAAATTAACCCACTTTTGTGAAATCTGACGTGACAGCTAATGTGGAATATCGTCAAAGGTTTACTAATGGTAATATATCAAACACTAACATTTATAATTTTATAAAGGTTTACGAGTGAGCCATGTAGATAACAAATTGACAGGTTTCACCGAAACAATTGGGTAGCCCAGTTTCTAGAAATTGTAGATTATTATTCTTGAATTGGTTAATATTTTGTATTTTAAATTTTTGAAGAATATTTTGCCAACGCTACAAATTTTGTGGCTAACATATTTAATTACCGTTTTAGTTATAACAATGATTAGCTTTTGTATATAATAGAATGAGAAACAATTTATGTTAGCGGATGATTAGATTTTTAATGTTATATTGTTGAGCAATTTTAGAATTCCGATCTCTCGTTCTACCAAAATTATAGTGTATATATACAAATAACCATTTTCATTTTTCTAATGGGATCATAGAAAATTTTAGTCTAATTACACCAAAAAAGAAATTATTATAACCATTTACCCAAATATTACACTAAGCCACTTACCTTTATAGAAAGGCAAAATACACTTGTATAGCCAAAACTTTCGCACTTGTGACAATAATAGCCAAATTTGGAGAAATACCACTTATAGCCAGAATTTTGAAACTTTTGTGCCAAATATAGCCATTTCCGTTATAAACTTTAACTGTGTTAGAGACTCCGTCAGTTAGTTTAACGTTAGGCTGACTAGGACGCCAAATCATCGCACACGTCAGCGACAAATCAGCCAAATTTGCCACGTAGGTGACACGTCATATTTTTAATTTAAAAACAAATGAAAAAATTCATATATTAAATTTCAAAAAAAAAAAAAAAACAATCGTCTGCAGCTGCTCCATCTGCGATTGCCACTTCCCGTCGTCGGCTTCTTCTTTTCCAAACCCATATCCATCTTCCGACGAAGATTTGGGGCGATCTCTGCAAATCGAGACACTTTCTTCATCTCCCACCGCCAACAAACCCCCCTCAATTCCACTGTCAAAACAGAGACACTTTCTCATTCTCCGTCTTCCAGCGGCGGCAGCGGCAGTACTTTGAGCAAGAGGAAGCCACCCATGTCCAAAATCACCATCCCAACCACCACCAGAGGGGGTCGCCGGAGACCATGGGGAAATACATGGCGGAGATTCGAGATCCCGCCAAAAAGGGGGTCAGGGTCTGGCTGGGGACGTTCGATTCCGCCGTCGAGGCCGCCAAGGCGTACGACAGCGCCGCCTTCCGCCTCCGCGGCAACAGGGCGATCCTCAATTTCCCGCTCGACGCCGGCAGGAATTCGGACTCTCCGGCAGTTTCAATTCCCCCCGAATCGGGGGGAATTGAGCGGCTGTTCTGGCGGGATTAGGAAGAGGATGATTGGGGAAATCGAGGGCGGTGGTGAGGGGAGTTTGAAGGCGGTGAAGGCGGAGAACCAGTCGTCGCCGGCGGTGGCGCAGGGTTTGGGGGAACCGGTGCCGTTGACGCTGTCGAGCTGGAAGGAGATCTGGGACGGGGAAGTTCTGACGGCGATAATGGAGATGGTGGACAGATGGGGAAGACGAAGTAGATGAGAGCGAGAGAGATTTTTGTTTTGAATTTGGGAAGCTTCAAAAGAAGAGAGAAAATCCCATGGTGGAAGCTTCATCTTTTTCCTTGCTTGCTTTGGTCCGCCATTAATGGTGGATCTGCTCGAGTTCTTGCAGAGGCACATTGGAAGGAGAGAATTTGTTTTGGCTATTTTTATTTAAAGAAATTACAATTTTATTTTATTTTTTTATTTTTTGTTTAATTCCACATGTGTCGCCACATAAGCCTTTCTGTTAGTCCAATCAGCATGTTAGTTGACACTGTTAAAGAATTAGACGGAAGTGGCTATAAGTGGTATTTCGCCAAAAGTGGCTATAAGTGTCACAAACGTGAAAGTTTTGGCTACACAAGTGTATTTTGCCTTATACAAATAACCATTTTCATTTTTCCAGTGGCGATGACTTGTTTTGGATTGGATTCTTTTCATAGAGCAATATCCAACAATTAAAAAAGAAAACTAAAAAGGGAGGACAACCGGCAATATTCGGTGAATTGTGAACCGCATGGATGCAGTGCCGGCATAGAAGAATTTCCGTACTTTTATTAGAATATGGGTCCAACAAATAATGAACAAAGCAACAACCAGAAGAAAAAAGGAGCTTCCAATAAAAACGAGACAAGACTAAGAAGATAAAGCAAATAGGAAGAGAAAGAGAAAGACAAAAAAAAAAAAAAAAGCAACAACTCAACCAGTAGTAGGGCAACCTATCAAAATAAGAGGGGAAAAAGTAACAAGAAAAGCTCGAACCAAAGAAAAAGACAAAAAAAAAGTCAAGTAGAGTATTTCGTCGCAGTCGTTAGCCACTGATGAAAGCAAAAATCTGAGATATGATTGAACACTCGTAGCCACCAACCGACCATATGAACAATCTTGTGGCATATCATTTGAGGGAGGTCTCCACATCTCTAAATTGTGGTTAACAACATGCTTTTAGAAAGATAAGGAAAAGAGAATGAATCTTCATTCCTCACGGTTATGTAACAATCTATTGTAGGAGAGGAGGGATGAGTTAGGGTGATTACTAGATGTCGTAGATGGATTGGATTCATGAATTAAGTGGATTGGTGAATCGATTCATGAATCCAAATGACATCAACCGATTTGGATCAAAATGTAAAATATAAAAAGTTTAGGTGCTAAAATGTCATCATGAAAAATTATAACTACCAAAACATATTTTTCCAATGTCATTTTTTGTATAAATTTTTTTACCAAATTGTAAAGTATAAAAAAGTTTATGTACTAAACTTTAATTTGTCAACAATCCATGAATCCACCAATCCAATTAAATTTGGATAAAATGGATTGGATTAGTTGTATATTTAAGTGGATGGATTGGATTTGATTGGATTGGTGGATTGGATCATAAATTTCCACCTCTAATCAACACATATAAAACTAAGTACTACTTGTGGGATAAAACTAATATAAAGGTGTAATATTGAGAAATGTCAGTTGTTTTGTGCTGAGATATCCGAAGAGGGAAAAAGTATGATCTCGTGAGTAACTGGTTTCCCTCTTGGAGATCTGCCTGTTTGATACCTTGGTGTGCCTCTTATCACTAGTGAACTCTCATCCAATGATTGCAAGGTGTTGGTGGATCAGGTTAAAAGCAAGAATAACGTGGCAAGCTAATATGCTGAGTTATGCGGGGAGGTTACAGCTTTTTTCTTCTGTAATCACTAGCACTATGCAGTATTGGATGACTTTATTTTTGTTACGAATGAAGATTCTGAAAGAGATTGAAGATTCTTATGGGGCGGAGAAGAGGAAAAGAGCACTGGTTTTCATGGGACAAAGTGGCTCGGCTTAAAACATAGGGAGGTTTGGACACTAGGGATTTCAAAACATGGAATTAGGGGTGTCAGTTCGGATCGGGTTCGGTTACCCAAATCGAAATCAGAAAAAAACCCGAAAACCCGAAACCGAAAATAACTAAAACCAAACTGAACCCGATAAGGACTTGCGGGTTTCGGTTACCCGAAACCCGAAAATTCCTTATCGGGTTCGGGTTGGGTTAAAGCAAAACCAAAACCCAAAAACCCGAACGCCTAAAAATACGGGCTGAGTTCTATTCATTGGAGGTTTTTAGCCGGAACCCGAAAAACCGATAAGCAAAACCGAACCCGAAACCGAGAAATCCAAAACCCGAAACGAACCCGAAAAACCGAAAATGTATATAATCGGGTTGGTTTTGGGTAAACCCGAAAAACCGAACCCGAATTGACACCCCTACATGGAATAAAGCATGTGTAATACGTCATCTCTGGAACCTAACTATTGGCAGAGGCAGGGTGATCTTTGTGGGTGGCATGGATAGGGGTGAACAAACACACCCATAAACCGACCCACCCGTCCAACCCGACCCGACCCACCCGTATTTATCGCTAAAACAAAGGTTTCGGGTTGGGTGAGGGTTTTCTTTTGTACAACCCGACTCTATTGGGTTGGGTTTGGATTTTGGATTACACAATCCGTAGAACCCGACCCAACCCGTGTTCCAACTATTGGTAGAAGTTCGTATCCAAAAATATTTATGTCATTTATAATTATGCTAAAATTAAGATATTTCACCATGTTTTTCTCTCATGGTCTCCCTAATTTAATGCATTCTTAGGTTTAAAGTTTAGACATAAATTTAATATAGCTATGATTCATGTAATCTTTTTTCTTGTGTACAATTTTAATAGAATAACATATTATGGGTGCATTCGTTTATAACCTTTTTAGCCTATTTTAACAAATATCGTGAAAAAAATTAGACATATGTTGAAGTAAATCACATTTTATTAAAAATGAAACGACATTTGTGAAATTTGATGTCTTTCACCTCGGTTTATTCATTTGAAATTTAGTTATTTATAAAATATATTTTATGTTGTAGAATAATTACATACTTTGTGTTGGGTTGGGTTTTTACTTAAAAATATCGCCAACCTGACCCAACCCAATTAGAAATAAACCGTAGGGTTTAAATTTTTTTGGGTGGGTTTGGATTTAATATTTCTCAAACCGTAGTGCATGGGTCGGGTGATTAAAATGGTTAAACCTGAACCACCCGACCCATGTACACCCCTAGGCATGGATACTGAAATATAAAGTGAAGGGTCGGTCCATCTGCAATTTGTCCGAGCAAGTTTCAGCAAGTTTGAATTATCAAGTCGGATAGAGAGAAGGTTAGGTGACTTATTTGGCTGATCTCCTTGAGTTACCTCTGGCGGGAATGCCAGAGCTATATGGTATCAAAACTATCTGCTCCCCCTCGTCAGATAGTAAAGAAATATATAGTCTGCTTTTTAATACATGTAATAGTTATAGTGTTGGTACATAACATTGTACTTGGAGAAGAAATTTTTGCATCCTACTGCTTATGTAATTTTGAATTAACCATTAAAAAAAAACTAAGATAAAGGATTAAAGCCGAGAATAAAAAGTCAAATGCATGTTTTGTTGTACTTCATTAGCGGGTTTTTCCCCCTGATGCCATCCTACAAATTTTTGTATTCTACCAATCATACCATTGCAAGGAAAACAACTATCTCTAGATAAATACATTGTGTACTTACAACTTGTGGGGGGAAAAGAACACTATATATAATTTTATCTTCGGTACACTCCCTTGTTTTTTTTGTATTAAATACACTCGTCTTATAATCTCAATTCGAGAAGATGATTTATTTTAAAACGATGTCAATCATATGATGTACAAAAAAACATATGAATTAGTACAAAAAAAATCATTATGACAATGATTGATTAGTTGTGATCTCATGATAAATCATCAAACGAATGCTACCAATTAAAATCCAAAATTCGATGTCTTCAGATTATTTTTAGAGTTGGGTGCATTGAATGCACCCATAAAAGTGAGTGCATCGAATAAACCACTATATATGGGTGGTTCTATCGTACACTAGGCAGAAACTGGTGAGTGTCGTACACCAGACAATCTCTACTGTACGGGTCGATCTCAACGATCAGCATAATTGTGGGTTCTGTTTTTTTTGTAGGATTATAAAATAAATTATCACATTTATGCTGACCGTTGAGATGGATGCGCATACGATTAGAGGTGGACATGTGGGTGTATAATCCGCAGATCTATATCGATCCACCCGCAAATAACCCGACCCGCAAGCTGTGCGTGATTGATGTGAGTGGATGCGAATTGATAAATCTCTCACCCGCTCTTATGTGGGTGGGTGGTGGGTGGATTGCGGGTCATCCGAATGACTCGCTTCCTATTTTCACATGAAAAAATGTTGTTTCTTATATTATCGAATATTCATCATATTTCCAAACCACACTACGTTCTAACCATATACTTATTAATGTGGAGAATAAATAATTCTTTTGACTACTATTATTGGCTATTGTGCTGTGTAATATCAATTTATTGGATATTGGAATGCAAATTATTGTTAATATCTATTATATATTGGGATGAAAACTATAAATTATTAATTGTATAAAATCACAACATGCATAAGTTTTCTCTGCACAATTGGTGGATAGAGTAGTAAATTTTTGGGTAATGTCTATTTTTTATCCAAACCCTTTTCAGATTCTTTTATATTATCCAAACCTATCGAAATACTAAGAATAGCTAAATGTTAACTTCCAGTTAGCAATTTTGTTAGTAATATTAACTTGGCAACATGATTCTGACTTGAAAGACACTCATGCAGGTCAACATTTCAAAATTTTGATATTTTAACTAAGAAAAAAGTTACAAAATTATTAACAATAACGTACAAATGGCTAATATTTTGATGCATTATGAAAGATTTTGATAATTAATAGAATTTTAATAGGTTTGGATGATATAAAAGAAAATGAAAAAGGTTTGGATAAAAAATAGACATTACCCTAAATTTTTTGATGCAAATACTACATGGATTCACTAGAGAGAACGTAGTGTTTAAATTGATATAATTTTGCTACTTTGTTATGAACTTATTATAAATGTTAGTCAACTTTCTTAATAGCTAGTTGGAGAATTGCTCTTGCGGGTTAACCCACGACCCAACCGCACCCATCCACCATCTACCCAACCTAACTCGCAAAAAAATGTAGGTAAATTGCGGGTCACAATTATTCCAACACGCTAGTAAACGGGTGGGTCCATTTAAGACAAAACCCCACTCAACTCGCCCATTGCCCACCCTACATACAATGG